GGCGTCAGGGCCCCACGTGTCTTCACGCCTGTCCCGCGCTGGGGCGTTAGGGGCCCAGGTGTTTTCGCGCGTGTCCCACCCCGGGGCGTTAGGGACCATGCGTGTTTTCATGCCTGTCCCGAGTTGGGGCCTTGGGAACCCACGTGTTTCTATGCTCGTCCCACTCAGGGGCGTTAGGAACCCAACGTGTTTTCACGCTTGCCCCCCTCTGGGGCGACTGGACCCCACGTGCTTTCTCGCCTGTCACGCTCTGAGGCGTTACGCACCCACGTGGTGTCACGCTGGTCCCGCTCTGGGACACTAGAAACCAACATGTGTTCACGCTTGTCGCACTCTGGAACGTTAGGAACCCATGTTCTTTTCACGCTTGTCCTGTTCTGGGGCGTTAGGAACCATGTGTTTTCACGCTTGTCCCACTCCGGGGCGCTAGGAACCCCGCGTGGTTTCACACTTTTCCTGCTCTGAGGCCTTAGGAATCCGTGTGTTTTCACGCGTGTCCCGCTCGGGGGCGTTAAGAACCCAACGTGTTTTCATGCTTGTGCCGCGCTGCGGCGTTAGGAACGATGTGTTTTCATGGTTGTCCCACTCTGGGGCTTTAGTAACCCTATGTGTTTTCACGCTTGCCCCACTCTGGGGCTTTGGGAACCGATGTGTTTTCATGTTTGTCCCGCTTTGAGGCGCTTGCCCTGGCAATCTATAGGAACATGCTTACAACTCTAAAGTCGAACCCCAGGGGAGGAGCAATCTATTGGACAAAACAGGCGTTTCGCCCGAGACGTCCTCAACACATTCTGAATCACCAGCGTTTCGTTCGAGACATCCGCAACAAACGAAAATGATCACTTTACCACGTTTTTTATCTTTTCGGAATTTCAAAAACCAGCGTTTCGCTCGGGACATCCTCAACAGCTTGTCAGCCGGCCCTGCGCGACCTCGTCATTGATCGCACATTGATCCGCTGGCCCTGCGAGAACGTGGCACCGGGGACAGCTGACCATCCTTAGAAGAAAACCCTGCGCCCATGCCCCTTCCGGGAAAAAGTGCAGGTCGGTCGTCGCTTGGGGGGCCCCGGCTGTGTGTCGACCACACCGCGTGATGAGTCGGGTGGGGATCCGGGGTCACCGCAGTGCTTTGGGGGATTCGGCTCGTTCTCCGAGGGCGTCTCTGGCGACTGGGCCCCCAGGGCCCCCAGGACCCCCAGCCCGCGCGGTGACGGACCGTGCGGAGAGGTCTCTTGAGATTTCGAGGTAACCACTCGGTCCGTCACCACATGAGGCGTTCCAGAAAGGGCCCTGCCTTCGAGGATAGAGAAGTGGATGCCACCTCTGCCGCGGCGGAAGTCGGCGGAAGCGCGGCGGCAGGTGGGCGGAAGTACAACGAGGCAGCCTCCGCCGGCAGAAGCCGGCGGAAGGCCGGCGGAAGGCGACGGAAGTAGAAGGTGCGCCCCCAAGAGATGAACACGTTTTTGGGGCTCAGGGTTTCTGGGATCCGCCACGTGGGCTTGGGGCCCCGCACTCGATCCCCCCCCTCGCGCCTCGGCAGGTCTTCGACGCCTCCCCCGACGCTGGCGTGCAGGGGCAGGGCGGCCAGGCCGGCTGCATGCAGCAGGTGCTGCAGAGGACGCGTCGCGGGCGGTGCCACCGCCGCCGCCGCCGCCGTCGTCGTCGATGTCGTCGTCGTCGTCGTCGTCGTCGTCGTCGTCGTCGTCGTCGTCGTCGCCGGCGCCGGCGCCGTCGCCGTCGCCGTCGCCGTCGCCGTCGCCGTCGTCGTCGTCGTCGTCGTCGTCGTCGTCGTCGCGATGACGCATCGACCGATCGAGCTTCGAGGATACTGGTTCTTTGGACTTCGTGGTGGTGTTGCAAGTCGGCCTCCCAGGGCGCGGTGGGCCCCGGAGCTTCTCCAGGGAGCGGGCGCTGCCCGGCGGTGCCGCCGCGGGGGCCTCGAGAGGCAGAGGCCCGCACCTGCGCACGGTAGGTCCAAGTCGGGCCAGTCCCTCGACAGGAGGGATGTCCAGAAATAGTCAACAAATAGTCTGGAGACGATGTCTTGAGTATTTTTGGGGCATCTTAGGGGAGCACCTCTTGAGTATTTCTGATGTTTCGCCCAAGATGCCCCTCGAGGGGGACGGGCCCGACTTGACGGCAGGTCCGTGCCGTCTCGGCGCAGTGGCTCAGCGCGGGCGCTGGCGTTCCAGACTGGCGGGCCATCCCGCGCAGCCCCGGGCGGCGCCGAACCGCCCGAGGTCGGCTGGCCCGGGCCCACGCCTGCGCCCTCGTCCGGGTCTCGCGCGCAGGGGCGCTACAGCTCAGCTGGTCGAGGGCTTCGGGGTCTTTGGCTCGCAGCGCGTTCCTTCCCGGCGCGCGCCGCGGCGCGGGCGGCACGCGGTGGAAGCCCATGCCAAGAAGCACCCTGCTCGCCTGCAGGGTACCCTGGGTGTCTTGGGTGTCGATGGCTCTGCTATGGGAAGCGCGACTTCCCCACACCAAAAGTCAATGGACGCCCCTTAGGACCCAGGGTTGGGTTTTTTGTGGAAGGTTTGTTGCGGTCGAGCTCCTACTGTAGTTCAGCTGGTCGAGGGTTTTGGGATCTCTGGCTTGCAGCGTGTCTCTTCCTGGGCTTGCAGTGGCGCAGGTGGCACGTGTCACGGTGGCGCCATGCACCCTTGCCAATCCTCCGAAGAGGAGCAGGCTTGGGATGCCTATCTTCCTGGGTGGAAGGAGGATGTGTTCTCGCCGACGTTGCTCCACTCGCGCGGCATATGCGAAGGGTATTCTCAATGGCTTGGCTCCGTGCCTTCGGCGATAACACTAGCAGACCCTTTGCAGCTGCCACGAGGGCGCCGCCAACCAATTGAACGCCCCGGTTGAATTGGCGAATTGGCCAATGAATTGTTCCAGGAAGCATGGGCGGGCGAACGGTGAGTGTTCGACGGGAACCACTACATCTGCACTACCAGGCCCATCCGTTTACATTCCGTTTCCCGCGAGTGTGCCCCAGCAAAGCCAGGAGGGCCCCCAGGACTCTCCAGCACAGCTCACAATTCCATTCCTGAGGCATTGCCCTCCTCCTCCTCCCCTCTCGCCTGCCTGCCCGCCCTTCTCGTCTCTGTTGCCGACCGCACGTTGCCCTGTTACCTCCACCTCCTCCTCCTCCTCCTCCTCCTCCTCCTCCTCCTCCTCTTCCTCCGCCTCCTCCTCCTCCTCCTCCTCCTCCTCCCTCCTCCTCCCTCCTCCTCCTCCTCCTCCGGGTCTTCCTCCTCCTCCGTTGCCGCCCCGGTCCGCGCTCGCCTGGGCCGGGGGCGATTCGCCCGAAGGCTTTTCTCTTGTGGAGCGCGAGCTGCGCGTGCGCTTCTCTTCACCCGCGAATGCATCGGCCGACGATGGGCCTTCCGATCCGATCCGATCCCGTCTCGTCTCCCCCCCCATTCCCTGCTCCCTCGTCCCTCCTCCTCCATCCTCCTCGCCAGTCGCCGCCCCCCCCCCCCTCATCCTTTCTGGCCGTCTCGCATCTCCCCCTTCGCGGATCCCTCGCCCACTCCCCTCCCTCCTCCCCTTCGCCAGCCGCCCTCCCTCCTCGCCAGTCGCCGGCTCCCTCCCCCCCTCGCAAGTCCGCCCTCCCTCATCCTCCTCCTCCTCCTCCTCCTCCTCCTCCTCCTCCTCCTCCTCCTCCTCCTCGCCAGTTGCCTTCCCCCTCCTCTCTCCTCTTCCCTCCTCCTCGCCAGTCGCCTTCCCTCCTCCCTCAGCCTGTGGCCCTGCGGCTCGCACGGGACATCCTCGCTCGGGCGCCGGGCGCTTCGGCGAGTCCTTCGCTTCGGGCTCCGGGACTTCGGCGACCTCTTCTGTCGATTGGTGTGGTATCGGCGAGCCAGTTCTTCATCGCCCCAAGACGACCACAGAGGCCCCCAAGAGGGTGCCCTCACGGCCCAAGAGGCCAGGCCGCCCAGACGGCCCAGGAGGCTTCCAAAACGGACCAACATGTCCAGCTTTTCGCCCAAATAGGCCCCCAGGAAGCCCCCAAAGGCCCCCATGAGGCTCCAAATAGCGGCCAAGAGGCCCCCAGGAAACCACCAAGTCACGCCCACTTGTCCTCTGAGGTCGGGTTTCGTGGCAACATCAGGTTTCAGCGGACTCTGCACCTCACCGTCTCCTTTCTTGACAGGGTCCTCTACTCAGTCAGGACATTTCTCGGATGCGTCGCCTCATGCGCGGGTTTTGCGGGAACTACGCCGTCCGAGTGTCGGCTACTTCTAGACGCTTCGCGTAGTCCCACCAGCCAATCAGACGCGATGCCCATGCGAGTTGCCCTGATCAGGGATTAGGAGGAACATGCAGTGGAATAACGAGCTGAGGGAGCCGTCATACCCAAGAAGGGGAGGATCTCTTTTTCGCCTCCTCCTCATCCTGCTCCTCTTCCTCCTCTCCCTCCTCCTCCTCCTCCTCCTCCTCCTCCTCCTCCTTCGCCTCCTCCTCCTCCTCCTCCTCCTCCTACTCCTACTCCTACTCCCCCTCCTCCTCCTCCTACTCCCTCCTACTCATCATCCTCATCCTCCCATCCTCCTCTCCTACTCCTCTCTCCTCCTACACTCTTCTCCTCCTCCTCTGTCCTACTCAGCTCCTCATCCTCCTCCTCCTCTCTAGCTTCTCCTCCTCCTCCTCCTCCTCCTCCTCACTCCTACTCCTCCTCCTCCTCCTCCTCCTCCGCCTCCCCCTCTGCTTCCCTCCTTCTCCTCCCCTTCCTCTACTTCGCTCTACTCTCCTCTTCTTCCCTCTCATCTCCTCCTCCTCCGCCTCCTCTCCTCCTCCTCACTCCGCCTCCTCCTCCTCCTACTCTTCTTCACGCCTAATCCTCCTCCTCCTCCATCTCCTCCTACTCCTCCTCCTCCTCTACTCCTCCTCCTCCTCCTCTCCCTCCTCAACTCCTCCTCCTCCCCTCTCCCTCCTCCTCCTCCTCCTCCTCCTCCTCCTCCACCTCCTCCTCCGCCTCCCCCTCTTCCTATAGAGCTTAGCCGTTCTGGCTCAGAGGGCCTCGAAGGTCCTCCTCCTCCTATTGAGGTCAGCCGTTCCTGGCCCGGCACCCAGGGCCGCTGGCCGCTGTGCGCTCGCGCCGCAGGGCCCGGCAGGGATGGCGGCGCTGTGCGGGGCTTTGGGCGCGGCTCCCGTGGCGCCGGCCGCGTGGACGGCGGCAGAGGGATGGCCACGACCCCGGGGGGCAGCGTCAGGGGGGGACAGGCTCAGACGAGGCGTTCCAGATAGGGCCTCGCCTTCGAGGATCGAGGGAGTCATCATCTCCTCCTCGGCGGAAGGCGGCGGAGGGCCTGTGGAAGCCCGGGGAAGTAAAATGAGGCCGCCTCCGCCGGCGGAAGCCGGCGGGAGGCTGGCGGAAGGCGGCGGAAGTAAAAGATGCGCCCCCAAGAGACGACAAGATTTGTTTGGTTCAGGGTCTCCGGAACACGCCAGGTGGACGAGGTTTCGAGGCTCGAGGTTCGGGGTCTTCGGGCGTTTCCGCCGGTTCTCGGCGGTCCTCCGGCCCCGGGGTGCGTTCCAGCGGCCGCGCCTCCCCGAGAGCGTTCCGACGGTGCCCAGATCGCCCCGGAGGGCCGCCAGAGGCCCGAGGTGTGGCCCCGAGCCACCAGCGACGGGGATAGGCCCGGGGAGGAACGCCTCGCCCCCCAATCTCCTCCTCCTCCTCCTCCTCCTCCTCCTCCTCCTCCCCCTCCTCCTCCTCCTCCTCCTCCTCCTCCTCCTCCTGCGTTGCCGATCGGGGCCCGGGTGCCCCACCCCGGCCCAGGGCCTGTCGCCGATATGTCGACCGGACCTCGCCGATGTCACTTCGGCGCTTCCACGCCTGAGCCGGTGCCCCTCTATCGTTGCCCTTCATCGTGGGAAGAAGCACGATGACCATGGCCAAATATGTCGCGGGGTCATGTCGACGCCGATCTTGGTCATGTTCCATGCTGGCCGTCGCCGATTCGCGAGGATGATCTACGAATCGACGGTGGCCAAAAAGGACGATGGCCATGATCAACGCCAACGTTTCCGCGTTCAGTCTTGGTCATGGTCATTGTTTTCTTCCCTCCAGGCGGCCCCTGTCTACCCGCAGGCTGCTGGGAGAATCCGAGCCCCCCACGACCGCGTTCAGACGACCAGGCCAGACGATGGCTGCGCGTCCATGCAGCTCCGTCAATACCGAGTTGGCGCTTTGTCCCATTCGGGATTTGACGGAGGCAGCCTATTAGTAACGATGTGCACACGGTGGGCTAGGACGAGGATACATCCGTTCTAGAGCGTTCGAGAACGCTCTGGGGAGGCCGCCCGGGCCCGAGACGTTCTCCAGAGCCGCGGCATCTCAGAGATTTCCGATTTGTCTTCGCACGATGTTGTACTTGTCCTGGCTCCGCCTCAGTGCACGCAAAGAGAAATAGGGAACCTGCCCCGCCCAGATTCTTGATGGGGCAGAAGCCAGTACCTTCCTCAATCGTCGGCCTGTGGGGGCGCCAGACGGGGAGACAGCAATCGGGGGCACGGAGAACGCCGATCTCTAGGTTTGGCCATGCCCCCGTTTAGGGGGCCCTGGGCCCCGTATATGGGGGCACAGTAAACGGGTGCACATGAAAAAGCCCACGCGCCCGTTCAGCTAAGCTTCCGTTTGCAAAGCCTCAAGCCTTCAGGGGGCCCATTCCAGTCCGCATTGGACTGTCAGAGACCCGCCTGGGCCGCAACACCTGACCTGGGGCAGGGGTCGAGAGCTTCCGGGGCCCACCTCGCGAAAGACGTGATGACTGCTATCCAGGAGGGCTGATCTCTCGCCCTCGTCGGAGGCTGGTGGAAGGCCCGCGGAAGCCGGGGCAAGTACTAGGGAACTGGATCGGGATCCTTGAGACGGGGGTCAGTGCGAATGGGGGTCAGCCAGAGCGCCAGATCTTGCAGGATCCTGCAGGGACAGGGTCGCATTAACCCGGGCTTGGGTGCGGGATCCTTCAGGATTTTGCAGGATCCTTCGCATTGACCCGGGTTTGGGTGCAGGATCTTGCATAATCTGCAGGATTCTTAAAGGCTTGACTGACCCGGGTCTGGATTGACACGGGTATAAGATCCCCGACTGGATACATATATATATATATATATATAGATATAGATATATGACGTGGCCAGCCTGGGCGAGAGCTGCATACACATCTGGCCAGATGTCATTCCAAAGGTCGGCCCTGGCGTGGCAAGGCACGCTGGCCCTCCACATGTGTATCCAGCAAGTGGCCTCGAGATGCTCCACACTTGAACCCGACCATGCGTGCTTCCAGCTTCCTGGTAAGCCGAGTGCTATCTTGCTTGCAGGCGGAAGCAAGCGAAAGGCTGGCGGGGTCCAGAAGCGGAGGTGCTCCCTCCAAGAAATGTCATCGCCGGCGCGCGCTGGACTTCGGGTGTTGGCCGTATGGCTGAGCAGCTCACCTGCCCATGGCGGCACACCAGGGGAGCGGGGCGAAGGCCTCTGGGAGGGCTTCTCAGCAGCCTCGAGGCTTATGATATTCCGGCGTACTTTCGCCTTGATCACCAGAATCAGATTCGAGCACCAAGAAATGACCGAAGCTTGTGGGTTTTCACGTGTCGGGCCCTGGGAGGCGAGACTCCTTCGACACCGTCTCGATGCTTCTCTGGGCGCTCGGAGTTATTTTTGGGGATGTGGTCCTCGAGTACGACGGGAGCAGCACGTCTCGAGGCCCCTCCAAGAAGCCGCCCGCCTTCTTCGAGCTGCCCCCTCCCCGCCTCCCTCCCCCCCCCCCCACGCGTGCCCTCAGCGCGCGCCGGCCGCCAACACATCCGGTCCCTGAGGGTGGCCAGGGCACCGCCTCGAGCTTTTTGTCTGGGGCCGTTCTTCGCTCTCGCAGCGCCCCTCCTCGCGTTCCCTCGTACCGTTCGGAAGGATTCGAGAGAACGCGAACCGAACTTCTGGGGCCCACCACGCGGGCAAGCTTCGTAACTATCCAGAGCCGCTGCGTCCTGGAGGGTCGGGCCCCCAAGAACAAATAACACAGGGAATGTAGATAACGAATCTGGCCCTGCAGGCCCGTTTTTCAGCCATATCCACTGCGCCTCGGCGTTTCGGTGCCCCTGCCCAGAAAGCCCAAGACGCTGCGGATCTTGACGGGAAGCCTCGCCCGCACGCCCTGCGTGCGAACTCGCGGCTCTGGAGGCGTCGTCTTTCGGCGGCGCGCGGGCGGGGTTGGCGCGTCGAGGGGCGGCGCCGGTGGCCCGTCTGCGAGGGCTTCTCAGAAGCTCTCCCTCCCGCCGTCCACCCAGACACGCGACGTCCAGTTCTCTTTTCAAGAAGCTGCTCCCCGAAGTCCCGGCCCCTTCACCCCGAGTCGTTTCTGATGGTCCCGGGGCCCAGTGAGAGCCCCGATAGGCTGGAATCCCGTCGCGATGTTTTCACGACGCGAGCATGTCTGGGTACGCAGGCTCCTCACAAGCCTCGCCGCGGAGCTTCTGTCAAGCAGTGTCGAGGCGTCCTGGCTTGCCTACAGGCCCACCAAAGAGTGGTCTAAGAACCTTTTGTGGTCCGCGTGCAACGTTTTTAGAACACCTCTGGCCGAGTTCGCCGTGCTTTCGCGCATCGGGCTCATGTTCTAAGAGCACGGCTCTTGTTGCTCGAGCATCTGCTTTTTGGGTTCAAAGAACATGTCGTGGTAGGCCTACAGGACTGCCGGGGCGGCAGGCCCCTGCTCCATCCTGGACGAAGCCCCTTGGCTTCCTGGGAGCCCGCCCCCTCGCCCTGGCCCTGGCGTGCGCGCCCACGCGCCCCGCGCGAGCGTGCCGCGCAGCAGGCGCTGCCTTGGTGGACCCCCGCCAGGCCCCGCCAGGCAGGGCTCATCTCGGCTCCGGCTCCTCCGACTCGACCGGCTTCGAGTTCAGACGGCTTCCGCTTCCGAGTCGCTTCGACTTGGGATCCCGATCTGGGCCCCGGCGTTTCCTTCCAGGGGTGCCTCCCGGGCCTGCTGACATCCGCCGATCCGGCCTCTCCCGACCTGGCCGCCGATTCTTCCGCCGAGCCGGCTCATTTCAATCGCCGACCCTTACGTTGCAACTTCGGGGGGCCTCGCCTGTCCCCAAAATTGGTGTTTTTTCTCTGGTGCCCGACGCGGGCTCGGTGCGGGCGCGACATGGATTTGGCGTGGATTCGACGCGGATTCGACACTAGATCCAACGAGTCCGACCTGGATTCGACACGGATTCGACGCGGATAGGGCCCCGACGGGACAGACGAGGTCCCCCGAGGATGCAACCCAACGACCCGGCGCATCGATTCGATCTTGGGCTCTCCCTGCCCCGCCCGGCCCCGCCTTGCTGGAGATGCCGAGGAGGCGCGTCGACGCCCCAGCGACCGAGGCCTGCACACCCGCCTGGGTTGAAGAGTGGCCTCCTCGTCGTCGTCGTCGTCGTCGTCGTCGTCGTCGTCGTCGCCGCTTCGAGCATCGCCGCTTGGGCGAGGGAGGGAGGGAGGGAGGGAGGGGGAGGAGGAGGTCGTCGTCGTCGTCGCTTCGAGCGTCGCCGCCTGGGCGAGAGCGCTGCCTCGCCGAGACGGCTAAGGCGGCCGCGCGGCCGAATAAAAAAACAGCGCGGGGCGCGGCGCGCGAGGGGCGGGGCAGAGGCGAGAGCCCACTGCGCCAGCACGGGGCGCTCCCCCATCGCTCCCTCGACCTCCCACCTCCTACTTCCTCCTACTTCCTCCTACTTCCTCCTACTTCCTCCTCCTCCTCCTCCTCCTCCTCCTCCTCCTCCTCCTCCTCCTCCTACCTCCTCCTCCTCCTCCTCCTCCTCCTCCTCCTCCTCCTCCTCCTCCCTCCTCCTCCTCCTCCTCCTCCTCTCCTCCTCCTCCTCCTCCTCCTCCTCCTGCTCCTGCTCCTGCTCCTTCTCCTACTTCCTTCTCCTCCTCCTCCTCCTCCTCCTCCTCCTCCTCCTCCACCTCTGTCTCCTCCTCCTCCTCCTCCTCCTCCTCCTCCTCCTTCCTTCTCCTTTTCCTCCTGCTTCTCCTGCGCTCCTTCTGCTGGCACGCGGGCCCCATCCTCGGGTCGGACGAAAGGGGCGATACAGTGCTTCGGCAGCAAATCATGGGAGCCTGGTACCCTTCTGATCTTCCGTCTTTAGCGTCGACTAGCGTCGATTAGCGTCTGGGAGTCTATGGGATAGCGCCGATTTAGCGTCGACTAGCTTCTTTTTGCCGACAAGATGGTATGGGAGGCTTCCATGAGTTGCCACCGAACGCTCCGCATCCCGCCCAGGTGAAGCCAGGGCACACGCGGTCGCCGCCGCCGGGGCGCCAGGTACTCAGGGGTGGCCTGAGAGACCCCTATAGCAAGCCATCCCATCCCGTTCCCTGATTCGCTTCTCGAGGACGAAACAACGGCATAAACATATGGCGCTGCGGAGTTCTTGGATCCGCGCTGGGCCCCTCCTGGCGGCGCCTCAGGCGCCGCCCCTGGCGCGCTCCGCGCGCCAAGGTATCCGCGCGGAGCGCCAACAGTTTATGGTTATGGCGTGTCTTGCTCCTCTACAGGTGACGCCAGGGTACACGCGGTCGCCGCCGCCGGGGCGCCAGGCGCTCAGGGCTGGCCTCAGCGAACCCTGGCAAGCCATCCCATGCCCTCACGTCCCCCTCGCCTGGCCCCAAGACGCGTGCTATGCATTGGCATGCGGAGGGAAGCCTGCGAGGCGAGGGCGGCGCCACGGAAGGGGCTACGGCTTGCTGTGCATAGGGATCGGTGGGGCCGCGCCCGAGAGGTGCCCGCCGCGGGCGTCGCGTCGCCCGCGCGGGGCCTCAGCCCCCGCCAGCAGGCCGGGAGGGCGCCCGCCGCCCTCGAGGTGCCGCCGACGCGCACCCCACAATGATGGCAGCGATAACGCCGACAACGTCACCAACGATAGACAACGGCAACAACAGTAAACAACGATAACCATCACAGCGATCAAGACGACGACGATGACGATCACCGCGCCGCCCTCGAGGTGCCGCCGACGTGCACCCCGCGGCCCAGCTGGGCCTGCGTGCCCGGCGCCTGCCTCGCCGCGCGGGGCTCCCCGGCGCGGCTGGCCTCGCCCGCGGCGGCGGCCTGGGGCGCCGCCTCGCCGCCGGGCGCGTGCCCGTCGCCCCGGCAGGGCGCCAGCCGCACGGTCGTCCTCAGCGGTGGGCTCGGCCCCGCCGCGCTGCCCGGCGGCATTCGGAGAACACGAAGCGGCATCGACATGCAGATTCGCGTCGTGTCGACCGGCGGCGACCCCAGCGCGTGCGTTTCAGGTTGAGCGTTGCCCGTGGCCCAGGATCGGCCCCTCGTTGCACGATCTGGCGCTCATGGGCCGGCCGATCGTTCAAGTTTGAAGGATCCCCGCGGTGTCAGGAACCAACGCCGAGGTCGGCACGACCCGAACCTGTCGCAAATGTTCGACAGTCCGCGCGGACTTCTTTCAAAAGGGAGGAACAAATTGCCCGGACCCGATGATAGCTGGCGCTTGCCAGGCGGCTCGGGGCGTTTTCGAAACAGCCCTGCACTCGTCGATTCCTTCGATGGGTGCGTTTGCTAAACGGCTTCGCGCGTCGGGGTCATTATTTTGGGGGGGATGTTCTACCCTCTATGAGCCTTTTTTTTGGATTCAGGCAAGTTTACTTGCATGGCGTTCGCCCCCCCCCCCCCCCCTCGCCCCTCTTCAAGCGAATACTAGCGTGCAAGTGCCTTTCGATTTGCGTGATTTCCGCGCCCCCCTGAACGTGCAAGTCGTTTGCGGCTTGCTTGAGGCTCAGCCCCCCCCCCCGTCCATACAAGTAAATTTGCCAGAGTCTAAAAAAACAGGCTCTATTCTTGGGCTCGCATCCAGGACCTCCCGGCGGCGCGTCCCTGCGCGCGCCAGGGAGGGGGGGGCCGGTGCCGACCGAGGAACCCGCGCGGGCCGCCGAAGATGACCTGAAGATGCCGTGCTCCTCCTCCTCCTCCTCCTCCTCCTCCTGCTCCTGCTCCTCCCTCCTCCTCCTCCTCCTCCTCCTCCTCCTCCTCCTCCTCCTCCTCCTCCTCCTCCTCCTCCTCTGTTCCCTCCTGCAGGCATGGCCAGCGTGGGCGTGGCGCCCTTCGTGCACGCCAGCCCCTGCTCGACCCCGCAGCCCACGTACGGACGCCTCAGCACCACGTACGCGGCGGCGTCCAGGGCGCAGGCGTGCCACGGCAGGCCCAGCGCAGTGGGCGGCGAGTGGCGCTTCCGCTCCGCCTCCCCGGGGGCCGCAGCCGGGGGCGGGCGTTGCAGCCGCGCCGCCGCACCCGAGGCCCGCGGCGCTTCGGGCGAGGTGCCAGCGCTGGCGGGCACCGGCTCGTGGGAGCTCGAGCGGGAGCAGGAGGAGCTCAAGGAGCAGCTCAAGACGATGCGATCTCAGCGGCGGAGCTCAGGGGAGGAAAGGAGGGCACCCCATACCGCTAGCCTTCCCTCGTGTTCCCCTTCTGGGGGGCCTCTTGCGAAGCCCTCGACGCCAGTGCTGGATTCGCCTCGAAATTCTGGTCAGAACGCACCCCAGGAGAGGTCCGGGGAGTAGCTTTAAGTCGGGCCTGTCCCCCTACAGGGAAACCTTCGAAGAAAAACAACAAAATTACAAAAAAAAAGTCCAAAAATAGTATGGGGAATATTTGTTGCATATGTTTTGACCTTTTTGGGGCATTTGTTTGGTATTGTTTTAATTTTTTGTCGAAAATCCCCCTGCAGGGGGACACGCCCGACATAAGAGTAGCGGTAGCGGTGCCTTTCGGCTTCCCCAGGAACCGGGCGCTGCGGGGGGAGCTCGAGGTGGAACGGTTGCTGTCGGAGCTGCAGGCGCTGCAGCAGAAGGAGCAGCACGCGCTGCGGCGGGAGGGGAGGGCGGACGACCTCCTCTGGCGCGAGGAAGTGCGCCTGGAAGAGGAGAGCGCTGCCTCCTCCAGCAGGGATCAGAAGACCAGACATCAGCATGCAGATCGTATCGTGGACGTTCGGGCGGGCGTACTGGGTCCGCGCTGGCGCTCGGGGGGGGGAAGGGGGGCGGCGGAGGTGCCACCAGGGGTTCGGGCAAGGACCCCCCAGCGCCGACCCCAAAGATCTGCTCGGAGTCTCGCATCTTCGGGCTTCGCTGGGGCCTCTTGGAGGCATGCTGGCGGCCTCTTGGGGCCCCTGGGGGGCGTCTCGGGGGCCTTCGGGGTGATCTTGGGGCCATCTTGGCGTGGAGAGCTCGGAAGTCTCCTTCGCTTTTTCCCTCTTGGGCCCCCCTTCGGGCCGTCTTCGGGCCTCTTGGTCCCTTTTTTCTGGGCCGTCTTGGAACCCTCCTGGGCCTGGATGGCGATCTTGGCTGGCCATTGGGGCGTTGGGCCTTAAGTGAGTTTTCATTGTTCAGTATTGGGTGCGTTAGAGGACCTGAGCACATCCCACCTCGTGCCCAGCGGGGCGGTGGCGTGCACACGTCATGCCAGGATGAAGCATGTTGGCCAGCGTGGGCCCCAAATTGATATGTTTCTAGCCATCTGCGTTGTGCAATCTATGGGGAGCCCTATTGTGCTACATCTGCGCTGAGATCTATGCGGCGCAACCTATGTGGTCCCATTCATGCTGTGCCACCTGTGCTGCGCAACATATGTCGTGCGATCTATGCCGTGCAGGTATGGTGCAACATAGGTGCAAGATATGTGGTGCAGACTGTGTGGTCCGATCTATGTTGTGTCGTCCATGCTGTGCAATCCATGCCGTGTGATCTAGGTTGTGCAATCTCCAGCTGTCTGCGGCAAGTCCCGCCACCGTGCCAGCCTAGCATTCTGGGTGGCGACTGTTCGACGGGGCTCTGGAAGCCGTCACGCATGAATGACACCTCGTGTCTCCAGTTTTGGGGACGCCGGCATGAGGACGATGAGTATTATGAGGATGATGGGTGTGATGGCGATGATTATGGTGATTATGCTGATGGTGCCGATGATGTTGATGCTGATTGTGATGATGATGCTGATGATGATGATGAAGATGATAGTGGTGGTGGTTATGATGCTGATGATGCTGTTGCGGACGGCAATGATAACGATGACGATGATTTTGAAGACGTCGATGATTGTGATGGTGATGGTGCTGGTGGTGACGACGGCGATGATGATGCTGATGATGGTGATGATGGTGATGATGATGATACTGATGATGATGCCGATCATGAGGATGATGCTGTTCATGGCGATGCTGGTAATACTGATGCTAATGATGCTGATGAAGATGCTGCTGATGATGATGATGGTGATGATGGTGATGATTCTGACGACGACGGCGACGATGATGCTGATGATGATGATGTGGATGATGATTTGAGAGGATGATGATGATGCTCATGACGCTGCTGATACAGATGATGATGGTGATGATGGCGATGATGATGACGACGATGCTGACGATGATGTTGACGCTGCTTTTGACGACGACGATGATGGTGATGGTAATGGTGATGGTAGTGGTGATGGTGATGGTGGTGAAGATGTCTTACGCTTGCCTGGGGCTCTCTTGTTCCGTCTTGGGGCCTCTTGGCCGTATGGTGGGTGTCTTGGGGCCGTCGTGGGGCCGTTTTGGCGCCATCTTGGGCAATCGAAGGGCCTTCTAAGGCCGCCTTGAGTTTCACAGGAAGCCCTCTTGGGCCGTCTTTGGGCCGTCTTGGATGCCACTTGGGCCATCGTGGAGTCCTCTCGGGCCGTCTCGAGCTGACGGCAGCCCGGAGAGGCGAGACTGCGAAGTTCATTCAAAGCCAATGGACATGACCAGATTTTGGTTTCTTCAGACCCTGATGGAGGTCCTCTTGTAGCCATTTTGGACCCTCTTGGGCGCATGTTGGGCCGTCTTGAATCCGAGCACAGTATATGACTACCACCACCAAGATCGAGAATAATCTACGATGCAATTTGGTGCAGTTTTATTCTGGTGAAATGCCCGCAGTCCCCCTCCCGCCGCCAACGGCAACCGGGCTGCCCCCTCTCTCTCAAGGACCGAAACAGAATTCATCAAAGCACGCGCGGTGGTGGTGTAAAATTTTGGTGACCAAAAGGAGCGATTCTTATACACCACCACCAAGAAGTGCTGTTGCAACTTCAGGAACTCCCCATGCCACGGCGCCTGCGAGCAGCGCCGCGCTCCTTTTCGCCGTGGCGTCGCAGCGCCGTCTGGCATGACCCTGCCCCTAACCCTTTCTGCGGCAAATTACTGTTGCGGGCGGTGGTGGTGTATAAAAGTTGGCCTCGCAATTGAATCAATGTTCGGTTGCCTTGGGGCCATCTTGGCCCATCTTGGTGTCCTTGATTGCCTGCGCTGGCCGTCTGGGAAGCTCGGGATGCCGATCCATCGTCTCAAACGGGGCACTGGGGGGCAGCGCCCGGGGAACGCGGGAAGTGCATGATCCTCAAGGGGGGGCGTGCGGGATGAGGGGTCCAGGAGTGTGAGCAGCCACGCAGGGAGTGCACACTCCTCGAGCGGGCGCGCATGGAACGGAGGGTCCAGACGTTACAGGCCATGCGGGAAACGCGCCATCCTCGAGACGGCACGCGGGGAAGGGGGGGCCAGAGGGGAACAGAAAGTGACATAAACATAAAAACTCAGAGGTCCGCGCGGATTTCTCGGATCGGCGCTGGGGCCCCCCGGGCGTCTCCAGCACCGCCCCTGGCGCGTCCGCGCGCCAGGGAAGGGGGTCCAGCGCCGATCCGAGAAATCCGCGCGGGCCTCCGAATTGTTATGTTAATGCCACTTCTTGTTCCCCTGATCCTCGAGACAGCACGTGGGGAAGGGGGGGGGGTCAGGCATCGGCATCAGCTGCCGCGCGGGGAGTGTGGACCATCCTCGGGCTGGCGCGCGTGCCTGGGGATCTGGGCACATTGGCTGCCACGCGGGAGGTGCAAGAGATCCTCGGGCGTGCACGAGGGGAGCGGGAGAAGGCAAGGGAGGGGCGAGGCGTGCAGCAGTCCGCGAGCAGAGGGGGGGGAGGAGGAGGAGGAGGAGGAGGAGGAGGAGGAGGAGGAGGAGGAGGAGGAGGAGGAGGAGGAGGAGGAGGAGGAAGAGGGGGAGGAGGAGGAGGAGGAGGAGGAGGAGGAGGAGGAGGAGGAGGGCCAGGGGAAACCCAGGGCACGTCAGCGATGCTACCGTGCACCCTCTCGTCCCAAGTACCCTTGCCAGTAGATTACGAACACGCAGACACACTTAGGCATCCTTCAACGCCTCAGCGTGCCAAGGGGCACGGTGGCGGGTATGTGGGGCAATCTACGTGGTGCAATCCATGCCGAGCCATCCAGATTCACACTGCCGAGCTTGAGCATTGACAACCCCACTGCTGGCGCAATCATCCCACCCGCCCGCCCGCAACTTGGTTTGCAAAACCTATGCGGCGGCGATTGCCATGACTGCTTGGCGCTGGCTGGCGCATTGCTGCGGCCGCGCTTGCGCGCGCAGGCTCGCGCGCAGAGCGGCCAGCTAGTCTGGCGCGACCGACGCGGCCGCGGTGGCGTTGACCGTCGGGCACCTCCCAACGCGTCTCACAGACCGCGCTGACGCGCGAGCACCTCAGTGCGCACAGTCGGTGATTCGGGCGGGCTCGGTTTCCTGGCGACGTCGACAACGCCACACACGATGATGAGAGTAGCGATGTTGGTGGCGACGATGACAATGACGACGGCAAGGCCAATTTATTTGACCAGGATGTTGGCCCCCTCCAGCACGCCCGCAAAAAGGCGTTCGAATGATTCCGACACTCGCGCGCGAAAGGCCCGTTTGGTCGCAATGTGAGCCGCGAGGTTTCGACTGGATGTGCGTGCTCGCCCACTCCGATGGGCCTCCCAGGGGCCCGCGAACGCGGCGACAGTTGCAAATTTCGCAACCACCCATGGAGCCTCGAGGTCTTGGCCTGGATGTGCGCACTCCCCTACCCCGCCGTGCCTCCCAGGAGCCCACGAAAGTGGCCTCATTTGCGCAGTTCGCAGCCACCCAGGGAGCAGCGCAGGAGCAGTCATGAAAAGGGGGGACGAGGGGGAGAGGGAGTGGGCACCACAATTCGAAGCGAGAACCTGACGCAGGAGGGCTGGGAACAAGTCTTCGACACACACCCCCCGAGCCAGTCCCCCCCCCCTGTTTCGACCGCCCCCCAGGATGGGGCCACCAGGTCCGCCAGGCTCACCTGCCAGCCGGCGACCGCGCTGCCGGACGGGGAGCGAGCACCCGCGTGGCAGCGGCGCCCGGCCGGGGAGGCTTCCGCGGGGCACCCCGGTGCGGCGCAGGTCGGCCAAGCGCAGACGGGGGTGGGCGGAGGGGGGAGGCTTCTTAAAACGACGCGAAGATCGGGACAACATCGGATCGGGATAACTCGAAATCTCTCAGAATCGGCGGGTTTGGAGGATGTATTGGGCGCCGCGGCCGCTCCAGAGCGTTCCGGGACGCTCTGAGAGCGCTCCGGAACGCTCTGGAGCGATTTATCCTGATCCTAGCCCTGTCTTACTTCT